GCACTGTCTGCTTTTCCAGAGGTCCTGAGTTCAATTCCCAGCAACCACATGGTGGCTCACAGCCATCTATAATGAGTTCTGGTGCATAATAAGATCTGGTGTATACATAATAAATAAATAAAATCTTGAAAGAAAGAAAGAAAGAAAGAAAGAAAGAAAGAAAGAAAGAAAGAAAGAAAGAAAGAGAGTAGGGAGGGGGCTCAGCCCTGGCCCAGGCACCCTATGTCCTGGCCTGGGGAGCAGGCCTCACCTATAGGAGCTACGTGTGGGTGGCACTGGCGGTCTGGCGTCTCTACCCAGTGCCGGGACTCTGGGCCGGAGCTCCTGGCCTCCAGGCCGTTTTCCACGGGCTGGGGTGTGGGAGGCTTCCCACGGCCCAGCCTCCTCTTCCCTCCGCCACGGACTTCCAGAAGGCGAGGGCAGTCTCGGGACTGTGGCTCCTGACCTGTGCCAATCAGCTTCCTGCTGCCTTCCAGGACCACGCTGGCCACCATCCACGTGGACTCGATGGCCAGAGGCCCCCACCTCAGGACGGCGGGGCCTGGGGTGCTCCCGGCAGCCGTTCATGCACTCCTGCTCCGATGCGAAGTTATTGGCATTGCCATGGCAGCCACCATACCAAAAGCGGTTACAGCGGCCCACCGATGGCACAAAGTACCAGCGGGCAGCCCAGTCTCCACAAGACCCAGGAGCACTAGGCAGCAGACACCGCACTGGGTAGGCTGTGGATGGGGGATGGAACATGTCATGTGGATGGCCAGTGAGAACACTGCCCTCTCCCCTCCGCCGTAAGAAGCATGCCTGTCCTGATTTATGGAGCACAGCCTCACACTTGGCAGGACCCTTGACCTCTCCTAGGAGCCTGGGACACTCTCAGGATCTGTCCTAAACTTCCTCAGGCTAGCTCACACCTATACCAAACTAGGGCCCCCAGGAAGAAAAGACCGGGGCTCCCTGAGCGAGCTCTCTCATGTCCCTTCCAGCCTCGGCCTCCTGGCGTGATGTACACACCAGCCAGAGTTTGACTTCTCAGTGGCCGCCCCTGAGGGGTTATGAGCATGCCCAGGAGGAGGCCCACCCTTGTCCTCATCCCCGGGATCCTGTCCCAGCTTCTAGCCTGCTTGTCCTCACAGCCCTGCTGGCCATGGCTAGTCTGCTCTGTGTTCCGAGTGGCCATGGCGGCCTGACGTGGCACCCGCCTGTCTGACTTTAGATGCAGATTCCCATGGCAGAGCCTGGAAGCACCGCCCATTGACCGCCCTGTGTCCACCCTCTTTCTAAAATTTGCACCCCATCTCACGAATGGGCAAGCCCTGCCAACATGCCCACCTTGCCCTGCCTTTCCTTTGGGAGGAGCCTGACTCCAGACAAAATATGAACTTTGTTTTATATGTGTCTCAGGCTGGCCTTGAATGTGGTATTTAGCTGAAAATGGCCTTGAACTTCTGGCCATCCTGCCTCTACCCCTCAAGTGCTGGAATTTCAGACCTGCACCACCATATCGAATTTATGTAGCAGGGAGGATTGAAGCCAGGGCTTCCTGTTTGCCGGGCAAGCACTCTACCAACTGAGCCACACCCACAGCCCTGGTGGCTCCGTTTATAACCCTCCCCAGCCGAGTGCAAACATCTTAGATACAGGAGCATGTATCAGAAACCTCTGGCCTGGTATCTAGTGTGTGCTCAGGCACTGGGAAATTATCAATGAGGTCTTTTGGCCTCGGGACGGGGACGAGGAGCCAGGGAGATATCACAGACTATTCATCGGGAAGGATGAGAAGGGGGACCCTCTCACCATAGCTGGGCTGGCCCACGCAGCCCTGCCCCAGCGGACCAGCTGCAGAAGCCATGTTGTCGTAGCAACAGCCAAACTGGGAGCTGCGGCAGTCGCTGGGCTCGCCCTCCTGGGCCTGGGGTTGGTGGATCTTGGGGACCTGGAGAGGACGCCAGAGGTTGGGAAATTAGGAATAAGTCTTGTTTCCAGCAGGGAGTGAGCTTGGGATGACCAGAGGGAGGGTGACAGGAAAAGGCAAGAGACACAGCTATGAGTCAGAGACAGAGAACCCCACCCAGGCCCGGGGATGAGGGGGAAGATCAGAGACCATCTCTGAAGCTCTGGTCTTTGAAAAGATGGCCCGAGTCTCCAGGTCTGTAGGGTCCTCCTTTTCCCAAGGCTGAAAGATGCCAAGACCCCGGTATCACAGAGCCGTGTTCCTGCCATGGGAGCCACTTACCTTGGAAGCCGCTGCCCTGGACCCTGGCCTGTTCCCAGTATTGTCACTGCTGTGAGACCTGGCACAGCCAGCCTGCTGGGGCCCCTCAGCTGCAGACACCCCATCGGGGCAGCACCCGTACCTGGGAAGACGCACATAGCCACGCTCACTGCCCTCCCATGGATCCTGATGCCTAAACTTCCAGGGAGGGACCAGGCTCCGGGGCTGCTTACGTCAGGGGACTGTCGGGATAAAGACCTGTCAGGGAGAGCCTGTTCCTGTGCGGGCATACCGTTCTTCGTGCCCCAGGCTCTGCTCATTCCCGGTGCCACCCAGCAGCTGCCAGGAAGGAAGGGGGTAAGGTGATACAAACATCACCCTCCAGGAGCTCCGGGGGAAAATGCCAGTCCATCACTTATCTCCCGCCAACCAGTGTGCAAAGCAAGGTGAAGGAAGGGTATCAGAGGAGAGGGCAGCCTCCCTCGCAGTCTCCCTCGGCAGCAGCCTTTGCTCCTGGCTCTCAGAAGAGAAAGCCAGGAGCAGAGAAGTCACCTGCCTCAAGTTACCCAGCAAAACATCCGGCAAGCGGCCGAGTGGGAAGTCACCCCCACCGGCCCCAAATCTCAGACCCTTAGCAGCACAGTTCCTCGGGGGCGCTGTGTGAGGTAGGTCCTGGAAGAACTGGAGGGAGGGGCGGCTGGCAGAGAGTGGGGTGACCCGCCCCTCCCTCTGAGACTGAAGGAGTGGGTCAGTTGAAGACCTTTGACATGTGGTCAGTTTCTCACTGGCTCCTGAACCTGGTGTGGACCTTAGAGATGGAATCGCCACCTCTCTAGCCTGCTCCAGGCCCCAGGTTACCCCATCTTCACAGGCTGGGCACATCAGAAGCCCTTCAGGCTTCACACACACTCACACACAAAACGGCACAGTTGAGAATTCTGATCTAAGCTGGGCCATCCTTCCCTGCACAGGAATGATGGCCCAGCCCCACCTTCCCCTCTCTCTCACCTACTGAGGAGGAAGAACAGTCCCAACCCACCTGCTCTGAAGACACGAGGCCCCAGCCAGGGGACAGCCTTGCCACTGGGGCCCAAGAGATGGTGTGTGGCCATCAGGGCAGCACCCGTGGGGGCTGTGTCTGCAGTCCTGGGGCCCTGAGCTAGGCCTCGGGGGTGCCCGGTGTGGAGGGTGCTGCAGAGTGGGGGCCCGGCCTGCAGGTGACAGGTGGGGGTCCTGCCCCTGCCTGGGGTTACTCTGGGCCCTGGGTCTCTCCTGGGCAGCCCACCGCTGGTCTCTAGCATCTATGTGTGAGAAAGAAAGACCACTGTGATGCCCCATAGGCCCCTTGCCTTTACCCCACATCTGCCTTCAAACCACTCTCCAAGGTCTCCAGGCTGCCCAGACTTACAGGTGATTGGGTCCTGGGGCAGGGACACAACTTCTCACCTGAGACTGGAGACACTTGCAGGCCTGAATGCATCCTAGGGTCTAAGGGGCGGTTCCGTGAGCCCTGAATGCTAGGGACCTCTGTAGGAAACCAAATAACAGCCATGGAGGGCAGAACCAGATGAAAAAAGCAACACCAGAGGGGGGAAAAAACCCAACATCCCAACCCCATAAAACACAAGCAGCAGAGACTTAGTGACTATAATGGCCTTAAACTCACAAGAATCCTCCTGCCTCAGTGTCTTAAGTGTACGGACTGCAGGCATGTTCAAAGATTTCCTCCAGCTTTTCTACATTTATGAATTTTTTTTCATCTTGTCCAACCTAGTTAAGATTAAGTCATTGTCCTGCTAGACTTGGAGGCCACGGGCAGCTGAACTGGTAGGGCACTTGCCTAGCATGAACCGAGTCCTGGCTTTGAGCCTTAACACCATCACCCCCAAAAGAGCAAAAATAGTTTACGGCATTTAGTAGTTAATAGTCTTAATAAGGTTGCTAGATTTTTTTTTTTTTTATCATAAAATGTCAGAGAAATTGACAGAAGAAGAAAGACTCTTGAAAGCATCAACAGTCTCAGCGGGGGTAGGGAGCTTTCCTGCTCTTTCATGATAAGTGCAGTGTTGGTGAGGCTGGAGAGATGGCTCGGAGGTTACGAGCACTGGCTGCTCTTCCTGAGTTCAATTTCCGGCAACCACATGGTGGCTCACAACCATCTAAAATTAGATCTGGTGCCCTCTCCTGGCATATACATAAGTAAGTAAATAAATAAATAAAAATAAAACTAACAGAAGACTTAAGAACACTGCAATGGGAAGCGGGTCTGTGGAGACAGTGTTAGGCCAATGTGAGGGCTGGAGTCCCAGAACCCACAAAAAGTGATCTCAGAGTTCCAGGCCAGCCAGGGCCACAGCGAGAATCAGCCAAAGGAGAGTTAATTAGAATACAATTGTGGGGAGGCTAAAGAGATTGCTGAGCAGCTAAGAGCATGCGCTCTTCCAGAGGACCGGGGTTCAAGTCCCAGGACCCACATGGCGGCTCACAAGCATCTGTAACTCCAGCTTCTGGGGAACCAAGGCCTTCTTCTGGCCTCGGTTCAGGCACAAGGTGCACAAATGTCCACCCAAGCAATGTATCATACACATAAAACAAAAATTTAAACATAATTTTAAAAAGACATTCCTAGGTCTGGTGCGGTGGTGTGCTCCTGTAATCCCAGCACTTACAGGTGGAGACAGTCACTTACAGGTGAACTTCGGGAGTTCAGTCATCCTTAGCTACATAGTGAGTTTGAGGCTAGCCTAGGCTACATTACACCCTGTCTCAACAAACCAATAATGGTAATAATAAAGCATCGCTGTGTCTCCTTTCCCAGTGTCCAGGGCACCACACACATTAGGTGCCATGATTTAGCTCATGATTCCTGCCTTCTGCTTCCTGGAGCTCCTGTCTCTCACCTCTACTTCAGAACGCTCCCTGAGTGCGGGCTAACCTTGTCTCTCTACCTCTAGCACCATGAATGGCTTCCGCACTCTCCCATGGGCTCCATATGCCGGACACACAGAGCCCGGTGACAGCCTCAAGGCTGGACCAGAACCCTTGCTGCCCACAGTGTCCAGGTGGCAGGAGCCACACTTGCCCCAGGCCACACTGTGGTCAGTAAGCTGCTGCACTCAGCCAAGTCCAAGGCTGCTCTGACACCTGCCAACCCCCCTCCCCTGGAATCCTGTTGTCCCCACCCGGAGGTGGGTTCCCACCCAGGGTTCCCACAAAAACCAGCACTTCAAGGACAAACCTACTTTTTTCAGGATCAGAAGCTACCTGCCCTCCCAGCCCAGCTCAGTCATGGCTCTTACTTTCTTCAAGTCCGTGCCCACACACCAAGCACACCCCAGCCTCTGCACCCTTCCCCCCTGAGAGGTCTTCTTCCCCAGGGTGGGGGTGGAGTGAAGGGCAGATGGGCATACTTTCTCTCTTCCATCATTCAGCCATTCAGCAAGGAGTTGTTGAGCACCTCCTGCATACTTAGGTACACTGGGGAAGACTACAAAGCCAGGAAGCCCTCAGGAAGCTCAGAGCTAGCAGGTCTAAGAAGCCATATTGGACAATACCAAGGTGGCATAAGACAACACATTGGGCGAGTTTGAGGTTCACAGCGTTCTGTAGATGGATTTGGCAACAGCAGAGGCAGCAATAGCCAGAGATGTGGGAAAGCAGCCAGGGAAAGGCCCCAGGCAGGAGGGCACGAAACTGGCAGCCGGGGGGAGGGGAAGGGGTGCCACCCTCCCTGTCCCATCCTCACCCTGCGGAAGATGGCAGGGCTGTCTGTTGCAGGGTTCCACCTCGGCAGGCTTGGATGACTGCAGGTCCATACAGTGACCAGGTGGCCCAATGGTACAGATGACCTGTCGCCTCCGAGTGCCTGAACCACAGCTTTTAGAGCACTAAGGCCCCGGGGTGGGAGTGGAGAGAGAGAGAGAGAGAGAGAACCTTAGGCCAGGGACACCCAGGAAGAAGGAGGGTGAATGCTCTTCTCAGCATCTCTCCAGGGCTCCAGGAACCAGGGCTGGATGGCAGGCATCGAAGGGGACAGACACTTACGAGGCTCCACGTGCCGACATGCCAGGCCTGGCCTCGGAACACAGGACAGACCTCTTGCACACAGGGCTCCGTGACGGTTGGCTTGTCCATCGAGGAACATGCTGTGGCAGGGACCGGAGACTCCCCATCCCCCCGGCAGGTAACGCTCCTCTTCCGGATGCCGGCTCCGCAGGTGACTGAACACTGTAAGGACAGGCTATCAGCAGGAAGGCCCCCCAGCCCTGGGAAGCCAGGGCAGCTGGGACAGCTGGAGGCCTACCAGCCCGGCTTAGAGGACACTCTACTCTCCTTATCCCACTCCTAAGCTCCCCAAGAGGCTGAGTCACTGCTCTGAGGTCACACAGGCTCCAGTAATAGTACTTGTCATACTCCTGTTTTTTTTAATGTGCATATGTGTGTCTCTCTGTCTGCGTGCCACTTGTGTGTGGGTGTCTGTGAGACCAGGAGCTGATCCCCGTGGAGCTGGAGTTATAGACAGCTGTGGAAAAACCAGACCTGGGTGCCAGGAATCAAACTCAGGTCCTTCTGGAAGATCATTAAGTGTTCTTAGCCTCTAGGCTGTCCCTCCAGCCTCCTTGCCCTGTGTTTGCAACTTGAATGCGTGTGGGTGCAAAATGAAATGCTTTCCTCAGCCCCCAACACATCCAGCTCTATCTCCTGGCTAAGGCAAACCCTTTGCCATCCGGCCCTGGGATGCTAGGAGATCCTTGGAGCAGAGTCTAGAAGTTACATTTCATCCCATCTTTGGCTACATCTTCCAAGATGGCCGGCTAGATCCCTTACCCTCTGAGGGCCACAGCTTCCTTCCACGGCAGAAGACAAGCCTTGCTAGCCCAGTCCCACTGCTGCCCAGGCCCGAGGCACAGCTCTGCACTCCAAGGCAGGGCCTTACCTCTCCCCAGGGTGCCACACTCCAGACTGCGCAGCGCTGCAGGTTGCAGGCCTGCGTGGCAGGGGGCTTCCCTGGGAGACCAGCGCACTGGCTCTCCTCAGCAGCTTCCTGGCCACCAGCCCCATCTGAGGACGCACAGTAGACAGGGCGAGACTGGAATCCGCCCCCACAGGAGGCTGAGCAGGGTGTCCACGGGCCAACCTTCCAGCTGACAAAAGGAAAAAATAAAAAATGGGGACAGTTAAGACTGGCCCAGGAGACTGCAGCCTCCCAGCGCAGAGTGCATTGAGGGCCCATTCCAACCCTCCCCCAAGAACTCTGTAGAGACCACCAGCCAGGCCTCCTAGGCACCCCCCTATGGCTCACTGGCCCCTGAAGGGGCTCCATAACTGAGGGCCTGCCTGAAGCCAGCCCCTCAGCCTTCCTAACTGTGCCCTGACTCTCCCTTTCCCTTTCTCAGTGGGACCTGGCATCCCAGCCAGACTCCATCCGTTGCTATCCTGGTGGGGGTGAGGGTGAGGGTGAGGGTCTCCAGAAAGGCTGTGTTCCCCGTGTGCAGAGAAGTCCTGCCTGGCTGGGGGTACAGGACCAAAGGAGAAAAGCCCCAAACACACCATGCAAAGCCAAGCCCACCACCATCCAGCTCACCAGGCCAGGGGCATGAGGGGACCAACACCAGCCCTGCAGGAACCCCCTGGCCCACCGGATTACCTGTTCCCACACACATGCTGGGCCCCAGCATGGCGCCACGCTCCAGGCCGGTGCAGGAAAGAGATCCTTTGTGTACGAACAAAGGCGTTTGCCAAAGTCTACCGGCCCTTTGGCCAAATTCCTGCCTGACCCCCTAGGCGTCTGCTTGAGCCCCCTGTGGCCTCAGACAGGAACCTCCGCCACTGTCCCCAAATTCTCCTGCTCCCAGCCTGGGCATTCTGAACACCGTGAGGAAACTGCCGGTCCCGGGTCTCACGCTCAGGTCCATTCCCTGCCTCCCTCAGTGATAGCTGCCACCGGAGCCGAAGGGCTCTGCCCGCCCCCCCCCCCCCAACCTCTTCAGACTATGCCTACAACAGTTCAGGGACTTGCCCTCCCTTCCCACCCAAGTTCTCAGGCTCCACCACAGGTGGAGGCGGGGGGCAAGGCCTCACCGCTTGGTCTTCGGGCAAGGGTGAGGGTTGCAGGACCGGCGGTGGGCTGGCCGGGGCTGGTGTTGACACATGTGGTCCGGGTAGGCCTCGTTGTCAATGGTGCAGAATACCAGGCGGGTCTGGTGACCTGTCAGAAGCGGGGTCACACAAAGCCGCTCTCCAAGTGGACTCACTAGTTAGGCACCCTTCTGGGCTGGGCCACAGCTCACCCATGGGTTCCAAGAACCACCATCACCCCCAGCTGACAGAGGAGGAAACTGGGGCTCAAAGAGTCTTAGGTGTGACAGACCTTGGTCATGAGCCCCAGGCCTGGGCGCCCGCCGATCACGGTGGACGGCTTCTCTTAGCTCCCCTCATCCTCATCCTCGTGTGGGTTACAGCCCTGCATGGGGACCTCTAACTTCTTCCATTCATGCAGTTGCCCCTCCCCGGGAGCACTGCCTTGAGGACCGAGCCGTAGCGCGCCAGCCCGTGTCACCTATGCCCTCCTCTAGACCCCAGCGGTCACCTCCGCCACACTCGGCGCTGCAGTCACTCCAGGAGCCGTGGCTCCAGCTGAAGCCTCGGCCGGGGTCGTTCCGTGGCAGGTAGTACTCGTAATGTACGCCGGGGTTGGCCTCCTGGCTGATGAGCTGCGGAGGGCGTCTTCGCTGAAGTTCCCCTGCGGTAGCCGGGGCAGCCCAACCGCCCAGGGCACCTCCCTCTGCGGCCCACTCACCTCGATGACCAGGGGCTCCGAGGTCGGGCCCCGTGCCTGCAGCCTCTCGGGGGCTGGGTCCCCCTCCACACCCCGTTCGTAATGGAGGACAGTGCTGGCCACCGGCAGAGCCTGGGCTGCCTCGATGGTCCAGCGACCATTGAGGTAGTATTCGCCGCGGACGCTCTTCACGGCTGTGGAGACCCCACTGGTCAGGGGACGTGGGACGGCGAGTCGGCTCTCTGAGCCCCCAGGCCGCCCAGCTCCAAACCTCTCTCTCACCCAGGAAATTCCTGCTGGCAGCGGCTTCCTCGATGCGGATACTGGTGGCCCCAGCAGGAATGATGAAGATTTGGTTGTAGCCTGATTGGGACAAGATTCAGGTGAGAAGTGCTAGTTTGCTCCTGGTGGGATTTCTTGGGGAGTGTGGGGGCGGGGGGGGAGCAGGCTCTGGGTACCAGGATGGCTTGGGAGGGAGAAGGAACAGCACCAGGACAAGGACCGGGTCGGGAGGGCTGAGGGCAGGCATCTACAGTGAGATCAGGCTGCATTAAGTGGGTGAGTGGCCCAACCATGGTGGGCACGTGAGAAGGGTTCTGTGAAAGGCTCAGCCTGTACTCTGCAGCCATGTGACCTGAGCCCAGCCCCGCGAGTGTTGTGAGCATGGCTTGGCCTTAGGCCTCGGGCAGAGAAGGCAAGCCAAGGCAGGCAGGCTAACAGACCCCTCAGAGCCCCCTGTACGATCTCACCTCTGCTGAGATCGTCGGCATCAAAGGTTCCCGTGACAGGGTGGCAGGTTGAGCCATCACCCCCGCACTGCAGACACTTGTCCTCCTGCTTGGTCGAGTCTAGCTTGTGATCGCAGCCGACGACCTGCGAGGAGGCAGAGGGAAGTGAGGCCAAGCAAGAGACCGACACAGTTCCAGCCGCCTCAGGCAGGACAGCAGGGGACAGGAGGGTTAATATCCGCTCCTCTGGCTCCTTAGACCCATCCCGCTCCTGCTAACCACTTCCTGCCTCCCTTTGGGGGTCCTGTGCCTCCCAGTTTGGATGCAACGCCATAAATGTGGGTTTGGGCATGCCAGAGGGTTGTTCCCTCCTTTCCTCAGAGAATGGTTCAGGCGAGCCCGGCTGACAGCTCAGAGAGCCCTCTCAGGTGGCTGCTGCTGCTGCTGCTGCTGGGGATTCCCCCCCCCCAGCCCAGGACCCTCCTTCCCCGCCCCCCAGGAGCTGTCAGGCTGGTATGGTATCGGCCTGGGGCTGCCATCCTGTCTTAGGCTTGTGAGAAGAACCTACATGAGCCTGAAGCTGACTCAGAGGAGGAGAAAGCAAGAGGTGGAGAGAGAAATTTCTAGCATCTTTCCGTCAGCCACGGCCATCCCTTCCACATTTGGTTGGGTTCAGCATTAGCCACTCAGAGCTCTTCTTTGATGAGGTTAGTGTTCTTGAGGGAGGGCACAGCTGAGGTGCTCAGAACACCTGCGATGACCACGTTGCACTCTGGAAGCTAGTGGCTTAAGGTACCAAGCTCCTGACAGCCCCCTGGTCCTGCTGGTGCTGGAAGACAGCAGCCCTAATAGTGGCAGCCAGCTCGCAGGCGGGCAGGGGCATAACTCACTCGGCAGATGCCGTCCACACAGATGTCCCGTTTGCCAGGCTCACAGGGCGTCCCGTCCACCACAGCCTCCCTGTGTCTGTAGTAGAAGCTCTCCCCCTTGGGGATGCAGTTCAGTTCACATTTGTTTGGAGCTGTGTAGGCAAGAGGAGAAAGCTGACATCTTGACACAAACGTGTGATGATCTGAATGAAAAATGTCCTGTTGCCCCCCCCCCCATAGACTCATGTGTATAAACACTTGGTCTCCAGTTAGTGGTTCCGTCTGGGAGGTTGTGGTCCTTTCAGGAAATAGTTCGCTGAGGGGGGAGGAGGCGCTTTCAAAGCTTACAGCCTCGCCCCACTTCCAGCTTGCACTCTCTTATCGTGTTGAAATAGGATCAACCGGATTCCCACTCCAGCCAGCAGCCGTTATAGACTCTCCCTCTGGAATCATAATCCCCAATAAACTCCCTTTACAAGCTACCTTTCATGGTGTTTTACTAGAGCAACAAAAAGTAACGAACGCCTGAACATCTGTGGGGGCTGGGTAGGCAAAATGGGGGGTGGGGGGAGCTGAGATCCCAGAACGAGGCCTTGTAAGAACCCCCAAGGGAGGCAAGGGCGGCAGCCAGAAGCGCAATCTTGCCAGGAGAGAGGGCTTTACAGTAGCAGTTCCCCCATCCCCAAAACAGCACAGACTCCCAGGAAGAAGGGATGGTCTCTCTGAATGTATGTGCATCTTGGGGGATCAAGTCAAACTGCAGCCTCTGCAAAGAGTAAAACCCCGCTCCTTGTTTTTATTTTGAGGTGAGGTCTCCAGGCCAGGCCAGCCTTAAGGGCTGGGCATGGTGATGCATACCTTTCTGTTTTGTTTTGTTTTCAATACAGGGTTTCTCTGTGTAGCCTTGGCTGTCCTGGACTTGCTCTGTAGAGCAGGCTGGCCTCAAACTCACAGAGATCCGCCTGCCTCTGCCTCCCTGAGTGTCGGGATTAGAGGTGAGCATCACCTGCCCTGTGTGGTGGTGCATGCCTTTAATCCCACCACCGATAGGCAGAGGCACGTGCATCTGAGTTGGAAACTAACCTGGTCTGTATAGTGAGTTCCAGGAAAGCCAGATACATAGTGAAACTCTGTCCCTCCCTGCCCCCTCCCCCCCAAAAAAATCACAAGCCAGGCTGGCCTTAAATTCCCTTTATGGCTAAGAACGACCTTAAACAGCCCCAAGGTACTAGCAAGATCATCATTATGTCCACCACAAGAAGGCAGCTGAGCCCTATAATATTTTAAGGTTGAAAAAGAAAAGTTAACTATTTACACGTGTGCATTCGTGTACATGTGCATGCAGGTGCCCAGGGAGGCCAGAAGAGGGCATACGATCCCCTGGAGCTGGGATTACACGTGGTCATGAGCCACCCGACATTCGTGCTGGGAACCAAACCCGGACCCTCTGTAAGCTAAGAGCAAACACTTTTAAATACCCACCTTTCCAGCACCGCCTCCCAACACTGCCATCATCATCACCCTTACTGTACGTTAGTGCGCGTGCGCGCGTGCACGTCTGTGTGTGCAGTGGTCCGAGGACAAATTTCAGGACTCAGATCCGTCCTCCTTCCACTGTGGGTTCCGAGACCCCTGAGTCATGTGGCTTGTGTAGCTTTTACCTGCTGGGCCATCTCGCCAGCCCCTTTCTCCCTATTCTTTTTAGCTTTTACTCCTTATTCCAAGTCTCCTATTGTATTAAAGTTTTCTTGAGATGTGTGTGTGTGTGTGAGAGAGAAAGACAGACAGACAGAGAGAATAAGCCGTATAAGGGTGGGAGGCCAGAAGAGGGTATCTGATTCCTTGGAACTAGAATTACAGACGGTTATATTCTGCCTAACGTGGGTGACTGGGGGCCGAACTTGTGTCCTCTGGGAGAGTGGCTAGTGTTCTTACCTGCTGAGCCATCTCTCCAGCCCCACATGAAGGTAATTTTTAACATACACCTCAGGAGTAGCACGTGCCTAAGGGGGGGGAGGGGGCACTTCTCTGGCTTCAGTGAAGGGGGAAACGTTTAATGCTGGCAACCAGAGTGTGCAGAGCCTAGGGGCCATCTGCAGAGAAAAGCGATGCCCCAGGCTTCTCGGGAGGCTGGCCTTTTAAGTTTATTGAAAGGCTATCTATCGCCAAGCAGCTCAGGCTGACCTGAGGCCTCCCGGAACTCCCCATGCATTCCCAGACTAGCTTAATCCCCTTACACTAGCGCTGGTATTTTGCGGGTACCGTTTTGTTCGTTTTAAGTTTTGGTTCTGCCTTGCACACGCGAGGCACACGCTCCACCATGGAGCTACATTCTAGCTCCTAAGAGGTCTTCTGGCAACTCCAAAATGGCTCAGCTGCATACACAGCAGAGCCCTTTTCCTGAACCCTACCCGGTGTTCCCCAGACCACATGGAGAGATGGGATACAGCTGGATCGAAGCCCTTTTCGGCCTTTGGCATGTTGACCCCACCCCACCTCCCAGTGGCCCCTCACTTTACACACCTCTGTGGCACAGCGGTAGGGGTTCAGAGCTGAAAGACGCGGGACTGGAGACGGGCACGCTAGGGCTTTGCTTTTGAAAAGACATTGAGGAGAAGGGGCCGGGAAGAGCTCGCATCACCCCCTTTCCCGGGTTGCAGCGGGCGTGCTAAGAATCAGTGTCAAGGCATCCCTAAGGGGTCTTAAGACCTGGGAGTCAGCGTGTGTGTCCTACGTGGAGAACGGGGCTGCAGAGCAGGATGGCGGCGTACCTGCGTAGTAGGGCAGCCACCGGTAGCGCCGGCCCTGGAAGTCTGTGCCGTCAAACTCTGCGCACTGCTCAGCCCGGAAGTCCCGCGTGCCGTCCGGGCAGCTCTGCACCGGAACATGGGTGCCCGCGTGAGCCCTGGCGAGGGGGCCTGCCTGGGTCCTCCCCTACCCACTTTCTGTGTCCTGGAGCCCTGGGCTCCTGCCCCTCTGCCCCGCCCACTCTCCACCCCCACCCCCACCCGTCCAGGAGGGGCCTCTCACTCTCCCTTGGTGCCTGGCAGAGGATGCGGCTCCAAGGAGGGGAGGTGGTTAGCGGGGGTGGGGGTGGGGTCAGGTGGGTGGGGAGAGGACCAGGGTGGAGGGGGGCACGCAGGCTTTACCTCGGTGTGGCAGGTGCGGTGGCTGCGCGTGGGGCCCGCGCAGCTGGTGCCTCCATCTCTCCTGCGGGTTGAGAACACACTGGGAAGACCCCAAGGTCCCCACCCGTTCCCTGCTCTCCGGGCCTCTCTGCGGGGTGCCCCTGGTGGGCAAGGCTGGACCAGAGTCCAAGGCGAGATGAGGAGGGGGTGTCCTTGGACCCAGATCCCAGACTGTGTTTGTACCATTCTTAGACCGACTGTCCCTACCCTTGACCTGACTCCTGGCTACAAGGGCCTTGAACTTCACGTACTATACCGGGAACCTGTGGATTCAATCCGCAGCTTAGTAATAAATACTCCAGGATGTTAGAAGTCTTGGGGGTTTTCATTGTTGTTGCTGGGGGAGGCTGTTTGTTTCGTTTATTTTTTTTCTTTTTGAGACAGGGTTTCTCTGTGTGGCCTTGGCTGTCCTGGACTCGCTTTGTACACCAGGCTGGCCTCCAACTCAGAGATCTGCCTCCCTGTGCCTCTTAAGTGCTCGGATTAAAGGCGTGAGCCACCATCGCTCTCGCTGAATTTTTTTTAAATTAAAGAAATTTAAATAATTTATTTATATAGTGTGAGACAAAGTCCCAGGTTGACTCTGTAGCTGAGGATGACCTTGAACTTGCCAAGCGCTAAAGGTTGCAGAACTGTGCCATACCCCCCACGGCTTCTCAGGAACCTGCTCGCGAACCCACCAGCAGGAGGCGCCTCGTCACCTTTCCTTCGTCCCCGACCCCCTCCCTGCAGAGCCCAGCAGAGCCCAGCACAGGAAATTCGTTAAGTCACTTGTCAGGAGAGGGTCCTCTGAGCTTGCGAAAAAGCCGAGGGCAAAGAAACCACATCAACCAGGAACTGCGGGCTGACGCTCTTCATTAACCCTGAAAATGAAGCTCACCACCACCGCCACCGCCACCACCACCACCGCCGCCGCCGCCGCCACCGCCTCGATGCTGGCGCCACGGAGGCTCAGGGTGTTGAAATCCAAGGTGCGCGCATGGGAAATATTTGCTCTCCTGTCCGCACCATCACTCTTCCACAATGAATTTGTCACATAATGGCCCCGGGGTCGGGTTCCCACCCGGCAGCCGGCCCTTCTCCACTGGCTGCTTCTAGACCTCCCCTCCCTACCTCTGGGAGTAGCAGGGGCGCTCCCGGAAGCTGATGCCTCCTCCACAGGTCCGGCTGCAGGGGCTCCAGTCGCCCCAGGCTCCCCAGCTGTCACTCTGGCGCCTCACATTTCGAGCCTGGGAAAGACAGGCCCTGGCTGTGTGACTCACCATCTATCACACCTCCCTGCCCTTGGGACTTGAGGCTAGAGCCCCCGCACAGGGCCCTCTGCTCAAGCCGCTCCCCAACCAGTTCAAAGAGCCTGGAGGCTTCCAGGACTGCCCCTTTAGGAAGCAGAAGCACCGAAATGTCTTAAGTAGCGGGAGGGAGGGCCGTTTAGGTGTGACTGGGCTCAGTCAGCTGGGAAGAGCCTGCTGTTCGGGGGACCCCTCGGGGAGGGGCCGGGCACCCAGTGCAGGCATTTGTGGGTCTACTGTAATGTGGAAGAGGGGATCTTAAAGGCGGGGCCAGGACAAGGGCACCGTGATGCATTGCTTTGGGCCTGTCCTCTAACTCAGCTATGGTCGACTCATTCAGATAGCCTCATGTTCTGGGTGTCTGTCTGCCAGAGGTGGTGGGGAAGAGGCTTTCTCCCCTGACTAGGCTAGTTTGGAGCCTGGCTTGGTGTCCCCTGCACAGAGCCTGTGGGTCTGCAGACCCACCCCTTTCAAGAGAGGCCTTTAGGGGATGGGGCAGATCACTGCAAGTCCTTGCGTGGGGGAGGACAGGCTCTACCTGTTTAGAGAGTGTAACCCCAAGACAGAACAGAACTTCAGTAGGAGCCCCAGAGAAGGCCACCCGAGCCTTGTTGTACTTCTCCTGCTCTAGATGTGAGTGAGTTCAGTTCCAGAAACTTCTATAGTCCTGCTCTATTAAACTAGGGCCTGTGTGTAGGTTAGAGGGAACAACAGAATTCCTGCTAATCTGTGGCTGAGACTCCTAGGGGAACCCCAATACCCATTTCCCCTGCCTCTGACAAGAGAACCTGAAAACTGGGTTACTTGCTCGATATTCAAGTTTCCTCTATCTTTCAAGCCCCATCCCTAAGTTCTCATCAATGGCAGTAAACCCAAGCGCTTGGGGCACTCTTTAGTACTCTGGAGAAAGAGCATAAATGGGCATTTGTGGTCCTCTTCCTCCCACACTCCTTTTTGCTGGGAAAGCCGATGTAATGACTAGAGTAGAACTGCCCTTTCGCCCGGAACTGACTTGGGAATAAAGGCCTCTGACTGTGAGGGCTTTGTGAAATGAAACAGGCCTGAACTTCTGACCCCTGGGCGTTTGTATGAGAGGTAGCTCTAACCTGCCTTCTTGCAATTACACAAAGGAAATGGCCTCATGGATGCGATATCTTGCAGCCAGCATCACGTGACCACATGGTACCCACCATCTCTCGTCTAATCGCTGTCACCCAAGGAAAGTGACAAGCAAAAAAGAGCAAGGTGCCACACACTCCAGGCCTCGGCGCTCAGCCGGGGCTGTGTTCCCACCTGCCCGAGGGAGCAGGCAGCCAATGATACCCTGGATCCTAAGGAGCTGGACAAGGGTGCTGAGAGACAGGGGCCACACTGCAAACGGGTCCCGTGTGCTGAAAGGAGGCTTAATTTTGAGCTGTCACCAGACAAGCCTTCAGGAACTATAACTCCCATCACTTAGAAGGAGGCCAAGTGTGAACAAAGAAAAGCAAGCCCTTCCCCAACTTGAAGTTTCACAGTCAGCCAGCCTGAGGTGAGAAGGGAAGTTCGCTGCTTGTTCAGCTCTGGATATCTCATTACTCTTGTTTTATAGACCACAACTGGGAAGCGGAGCAAACCGCACTAAACCCGCTAGCCACACAAAGCCAAGCACAGACCAGCCCAACCAAAGGCCTCGCCTCTCACTGTAAAATTATCCATTCCTCCAGGTCTTGCTAGAATAGAACCTTCAAGCTTTCCAAAGCAGGGAACCAGGTACTCTGACAATGAAATACAAACTGCTTTCATTCGGCTTGAGCTTCTATTTTGAAGCCGGGAGCTACTTGTCGTGTGGGGGTAACTCTCCAGGCTAAGATTCCCGCTCCTGTGACCCTCAAGCCTTGCTAGGATGTAGAGATCACATGCCTCGCTGGCTGCCCGGGATCCTGATCCTGCTGGACGCTCGTCTAGCCTCCTTGTACAACCAGCCCCAGAAATCCAACCCTTCCTGAGGCAAGGTAGAGCCAACTCATGTGTCCACAGGGATGCTCTGGCCGTGGAGGCATTCTAGGATGTCTGACGGGGAGGGCAGTGGTCTAGGGTTCTCTAGAGGCTACATTCCCATCAGGTGCCCCTTAAAGACATTCTTTGCTTCCTGCGACCAGCACCTGTAAGGTAGAGGCCTTCTGCCAGCACTCATGAGAGCCCTAGTCTATGTTGAAACTGAATCATGGTCCCTGCACCTTTCTGTACACATCAGGTCATGAGCAGCGTGAGCACATTTTGTTCTCCATAATTACCTAAACCCCAAGCTGTGTGGAGGTAGGAAGCCAGAAGCTGGTGTGACCCAACCCTGCTCTGGGCCTGTCCCCGCCTGCCTCATGCTACTCCCAGCACCCCACCCTTCCTCCAGCTCCAGCTCCCAGCTCAGGAGTTCCCTTTTTTCTGCCTGTTTCCAGAACACTGCCTGCTGGACACCAGGATGAGTGTAGGAAGGAGACGGGGACCAGAGGGCAGGTGAAGGGACTCACAGCCACGCTTTGGTCATCTAGCCAGCCATTTTGTTAAGCTGACAGGTCAACCCTGACAGGGACCCTGGGTGGTCAGGACCCCATGGTGGACCCTGCCATCCATAGGGTGAGCAGTGGAGCAGTGAACCTGGACCGTATCTCTCTACCAGACAGAGGATAGGCAAAGAAGCCAGCCTCGTCTGGGCCCTTCAGGCTGGGGAGAAGGGAGGAGAGGGTAAGGCAGCAGGCCACTCAGGGTGTTCCCTTCATGGGAGAAGGGACCTCATAGGACCCAGCGTGCTCCGTAATCATTGGTTCATCCATGTGAACCTGTGCTCTCTGTTCTGCTCATCACCCAGTTCTGCAGACCCTCTGTCCCCTTTAGGGTCCCCTGCTTATCCTTATGACTGAGGAGCTCTGTCCCTGGAGCCCTATGTGAGCTACCTGCTCACCGGTCATCCTGACAGCCACCGCTAGTGCAAATTAAGCTCAAGTCAACATCAAAGGCTCCTCAGGTGTGCCAGCCACGTTTCAAGTGTCCAGTAAACACTCGAGCCTAGTGGCCGCCTGCTAAACCTCAGAGAGTGAGGGAGCATCCCAGCCATCTCCTTCAGGCAGGAGTTTGGTGTGCCGGCTCAGGCTGGCAACGTGCATCTATGCGTCTTTTCTCTTTAAAGGGGCGGAGTCATGATAATCGTTCTGTGGCACTAGCCTGGGCCCAGGGGACTGTAGCCAACACCTTCAGGTAGGAGGGCTAAGGAGGGACAATGTCGTTTTTTGCAAACTGCCCTGCGTCCAGTTAAGGAAGCCAGCCTGACACTGGAGGTCCAACCTCCACGGGAGCCCCCTCAGGCCAGACTCTTCTCCTCTCAGTCTTCCGGCCGCCCCTCCCCCGCCTCTCCCGAAGGAACCTCCCAGGCCTCCCCACCGGCCAGCCGCACTCACCCAAGACCCTGGAGTGGAGGCCAGCAGTAGCAGCAGCAGGAACGTGAGAAGGAACAGCTGCATCTCTGTCTGCAGGAGAAGCCACCGGTTAGAGCCAGAGGGGACACCACGGCTACCCAGAGTGGTGGTTCCTGCTGCAGGGGAGGGATGCCCCTCCCACGGAGACCGATGGGGTCTGCTGGTCACAAAACAACCCATGCCAAGCAACTCACACCGGAGGGAGAGCCACAGGGGGCAGAAGTACCAGGACGACTTGTTTTGGGTTTCCAGAGGGGGAAAAGAGTGACTAAAAATCCTGCTATGCTGTTGGAGAACCCAGTTTGGAATTTAAAAAACAACAACAATTAAAAAAAAAAAAAAAAAACAAACCAGACTGCCAAACTCAGTAAGAATTTAAAAGTCCATTTTGTCCCATGTAAAGACAACTGGTAAAAATAGATTCGCAGTCAGCTTTCATTACCCAAAATAAGGAAGGGTGTGTGTCTGTGTGTGTGGGAGTGAGTGGTGTCTGCGTGTGTGCAGGCCTGTGAAGCCAGGAGGTTGATCATGGGTGTCTTCCTCGGCCGGCGCTCTCCACCTTATTTTTTGAGACAGTGTCTCTCTTTGAACTTGTGGCTCAGCTTTTTCTACTAGGCTGGCTAGCCAATGGGCAGGAGGGATCCGCCTCCCTCCCCCCACCCCCCAGGGCTGGGGTTACACATCACGCTGCTGCTGCTGCTGCTGCTGCTGCTGCTGCTGCTGCTGCTGCTGCTTTACCCGAGTTTTTAGAGCCCTGCGTTGGGGACCTCGAGCTTGCACAGCAACAGCATTTTCCTGACAGTTACCTTCCCAGCCCCGCCGAATAAATACGGGGTGTGGGGGGTGGGGGTGGGGCAGGGGGAACTGTGTTTAAGAATAGTTTAAAAATTCAGTTGCTTGTCCAGGTGTGCTATGGGGGCTGGGTATCCTGCAGCTCCAGCTGGGGGGAGGTTGAGGCAGGAATATCACTAGAACCCAGGAGTTCAAGGCCGGTCTGGGCCAAGAGGCCCACTCCGAATTCAACTGCTTTTCAAGTCCAGGGTGTGGCTCCTCTTAACTGTGCTGAGACCCTGATTTGGGTACCCAGCACCCACTCTTGTTCTCTCTCTCTCTCTCTCTCTCTCTCTCTCTCTCTCTCACACACACACACACACACACACACACACACACACACACACACACACACGCAGAAGCCAACCCTTGCCCGCACAGGAAAGCCGCCTTCCCAGTCTTCATAACGAACGAGCGCGTGCACCCTTGAACCCAGAGTCGTGTGCAAGGTGGGCCCGTGTGCATCCGAGGTCGCCGTGGTGGGGCGAGCAGCGCGGGGTGTGTGCACGTGTGCACACACGCCCCCGTCACGGAGACACGTAGGCAGCGCGCAGTTCGAGTGCAGAGCATTAAGCAAGCGCCGACAGGTACGTTTCCTATTAAAGTCTGTAATTCAGCCCGACGTTCCGAATTCCCTCAGAATCAAAAGTGGCTTTCGGACGCTCTACGGGGACGGAGCACAGCGTTCAAAAGTCACGCTCGGCAGTTTGCCCCACAGAGAAGGAGGGTGGTGGGGCGGGAGCGCACACGGGCGAGGATGTGGGGGTGCGGTGCGGCCGCCATCAGGGGCCGGGAGGGGCGTGAGGGTTCCCTGCTGGACCAGAGCGAGACTGAAGAGAGGACGGAAGAGCCCCACCCACTACGACCTCGTCCCTGCGATTCCCAAGTCCCGAAAGCTCCCGAGTCAGGAAGACTCTTCCAACCCTCACGTCCCTCCCCCCCCCACCGGGTGGCGCTGCGTGACCCCAGAGGCACCGAGGGGCGGTGCCCACAGGGGCCCTGAGTGCCTAGCGGGTGCTGGCTGTGGCCTGGCATGTTCCCAGGGGGTGCTCTGGGTCTGCAGGCTTCTGCTGGGCTGTGCCTGGGAGGGGAGGAGCTGTTCCAGGAGAAGAGGGGGTGGGGTACCTGATTACACGCCACCCCCCACCCCGGGCTCTGCACCCCGAGCTGCAGAGCTGAGACCCTCCTCAGTGCCCACAGCCAGAGGCGGCATCTCCCGTGGGCCTCTCCCTTCCACACCACCGAGACCTACTCGAGCCAGGTGGGGCAGATGCCTACAGATGCCCGGGGCACCCGTGCCCTGCCCAAGACGCCTGCTTGCCTTCCTACCTGTCTCTCTCGAAGCCCGGGGAGCCGCCCCGTCGGTGCCCAGCCCCAGGTCAATCTCGCCAGGACCGACGAAAGCAGGGAGAGGTTGGGCTTCTCTTCCCGCCGCTGGCTGGCTTCCTCCCCGCCCCACCTTCCCTCACCCAGTCTGCTGACACCCACCTCCAATCCCTGAAGGAGCACGGTGCCCCCACCGAGAGGCCCCGGGTGCCCAGCGTTGCCCCGTGCCTCCTCCTCTTGGGTTCCTGCCAAGGCTTTGCTTATTCTGAGCTCTGTGGGCTCCGGGTCTTGGGTCTGAGCCAGACACCTTCTCAGTCCCACTTCCCCTTGCCCAAGCCCTCCAGGGTTTTATCAAAACCCCTTCCCACCACACCTATCCCACACAGACACTTGGGTGTACAGCCACCTTCTGAATTCTATACTTTGGCCACAGTCAGTTTACACACACACACACACACACACCACGCAACCTTTCAGCTTCTACTCATCCCTCAAAACATGCCACCTTTCGAAGCCTCCCTCCCCACTCCACCACAGTGGCTGCAGTCTCGTGGAGCATCACACTAAGAATTTCACCCCGAATCAGCTGTGAATTGCAGCTGAATAAGGTCTGCGTGATCTGCGGCCATGGCCCTGGGCACCAGCTAGCATGGAGGTGCTTAACCGCATCCACTTGTGGTGAATTTAATATCCTTCCTGTTTGTTCCTTACCTGTCCCCCTCACTCCATCCCGTACCGAAGGGGAGAAAAGATAAAAGTTCCTTGCTAGCCATTCCTTTTCTGAAAACTTAAGAGAGTTCATTCCTCCCTAGGAAAAAAAAATGCCCTGGCCCTGGGTCTGTGGAGGCCACAGAGGCTCCTTGCTGGCCCCGACATGGCCACTTCGGCGTGGGCCTTATAGGCAGAGCAGTTTCCAACAGCCATCTCAGCCTTCTTCAAAGCTGGGCGAGTGTTCAGGCTAGACTGAGGACAACACGAAGCTCTTCAGACTGTCCCCAGCGGGGCAGGACAGAAGCCTGGTTTCAGGGTCCCAGGGATGTGGGGATTCTTGGGCAAAGATAAAGCTTGGCAGCAAAGGCAGTGTAATTACGTCAATCTCCCCAGAAAAGGAAAAGGGCTCTTCTTTAACACCCCCCCCACATTCCCTTCATCCAGGACCTTTCTGAACTTGGTCAAAGGTCCCTGTGAAGTGGGAGGCAAAGGTTTCTCTTACTCCTGAAGGCTGGGGGCACTGAAAAGCAACCTTTCTGGTGGGTTTGTTTTTCCCAGCCCTTTTCAGGTGCCTGGTGCCTTGGGTCCTTTTGTTTTGTTCTGTTTTCAGGCAGGATCTCATGCAGCCCAGGCTGGCCTCACTGTGTAGCTGAGGATAATCCTGACGGCTGGTGTTACAGAGCAGCAGTTTACATGGACAGCGTAAATGCGTGCCGGACAAGCATTCTACCAACTGACCACACCCCAGCCCAGATCTGGATTCTCTCTCTCTCTTTCTCTCTCTCTCTCTTCAACATTAGTCTTAGTCGCGGTTACTACTGCTGTGATGAAACACCATGACCAAAAGCAAGTCAGAAAGGAAAGGGTTTGTTTGTTGGTTTTTGAGACAGGGTTTCTCTGTGTAGCTCTCTCTGGCTGTCTTAGAACTCCATCAGTAGACCAGGCTGGCCTCAAACTAAGAGGTCCTCTTGCCTCTGCCTCTGGAGTGCTGGGATTAAGGGTGTTTGCCACCGCCACCACAACCCAGCAGGAAAGAATTTATTTGGCTTACACTTCCATATCGGTGTTCATCATCGAAGGAAGAAGTCAGGGTAGGAACCTGGAGGCAGGAGCTGATGCAGAGGCCATGGAGGGGTGCTGCTTTCTGGCTTGCTCCCCATGGTTTGCTCTGCCTGCTTTCTTATAGAACCCAGGACCAACAGCCCAGGGACAGCACCTCCCACAATGGGCTGAGCCATCTGTCACTGATTAAGAAAATTCCCAACAGGCTTGTCTGAAGCATGATCTTATTGACGGCTTTTTCTCAGTTGAGGCTACCTCCTCTCGGATGACTGTAGCTTGCATAAAGTTGACCTAAAACCAGCCAGCACACCACTTCAAAACATTTATTTTTCTTTTTTCTTTTCTTTTGTTTGTTTTTCAAGACAGTTTTCTCTGTAGCCTTGGCTGTCCTAGACTCACTTTGTAGACCAGGCTGGCCTCGAACTCACAGCGATCCACCTGCCTCTGCCTTCCTGAGTGCTGGGATTGAAGGTGTGCAGCACTGCACCTGGCCATTTCTTTATTTTTCTCTAAGACTTTCCCAGGGGACATCACTAACCTTGTGTCCCCCCACTCCCCACGGAGGGTTAGTGCACTCGCTGCTATAAAGCAGGTACGAACAGTTTCAAGGACCAGAACCAACCTTAAATGGCAAAAACACTTTTTATTTGAATTACCAAAAAAAAAACGTTTAGTTAAAAAAAAGAAAAAAGAAAAAGAAAAGGCTCAGAGGGGCAATGGCGGTTTCAGAATGAAAAGATCATTCACGTTTCATGTCTTACATTCAATCTTGGCTCTAGTGTAACAAAGTGGAAACGGGATTACTATCATACAAAATGTTCACTACAGCACACTGTATGCACCTGTTCCAAGCCCAGCCCAGCCCCCAATGCTTCCAGCTCTCCTGCTTCCCAGCCTGTTGGGCCTGTGGACGGAGGAGCACGAGGATCTTCTCTTTGATGCAGACTGAGTGAACAGGACAGCTGAGACCTGCCAGATCGCCAATAAAATCAAACAACTGACTGAAACCGGGTGTGGCGGAGGGGCTGTTGGGATTCATTCTTCGTACGTTTTACAGACACCTCTCCTGCATTCACTCGCACATTCATAGACCACGTGCGTTCTGCCTTTCTGGCCCCTTGGTAGCTTGTACCAACAAAATGGTGTGAGACCTGGCGCCAAAGGGCTTTGTTGCAGCTGCCACCACATACCCAGATCCGAATTCTTAAGTCCTCGTCTCTGGTGTGTTAGAGAGCTCTGGTGACGAGAAGGCAGAAACTGTGCAGAGCGGAGTCAAGGAGCGGGCCTCTCCCATCAACCACTGTTGTAGACCAGAACTGATCTGCCGGGCTCACAAACACCTGCAGAGCATAGTGCTCAACCTGGAGTTAACTGGTGCAAGCATAGTTGCATAGGAAAAAAAAAAAAAGATCTGGGGAGATGGCTG